GGACGACCATCTTTTGGGTATGTTGTAAGTATGTAGGGCTATCTTTCGACTCTGCTCCTGCAGGGTGCAGGGGGCTGGACTAGATGACCTGCAAGGTCCCTTCCAACATTCTATGATTCTGTGAAGAGGAGGTTGAGGGAGGACAGGATGGCTCTCTTGAAGTCTTTGAAGGGCTGCCTATCAGAGGAAGGCAGGGAGCTGTTCTTGTTGGCAGCAGAGGATAGGACTTGAAATAATGGAATGAAGGACGGGATCTTAGGGGGAACTTTTTTGACAGAGTCCTGCCACAGTGGCATCAGCTGACTCAGGAGGTGGTGAGCTCCCCCTCTCTGGCAGTCTTTAAGCAGCAGCTGGAGAAACACCTGTCAGGGATGCTCTCGGCTGATCCTGCATTGAGCAGGGGGTTCGACTAGATGGCCTGTAGGACCCTCTCCCAACTCTGGGATTCTATGATTCTGTGAGCGCGGGCTCAAATCTGGGAGAACCGGGTTTGATTCCCCACTCCTCCCCATGCAGCTGCTGGTGTGACCTTGGGTCAGCCACATGTTCTCTCATGAGCAGTTCTCCAAAGAGCTCTCTCAGCCCCACCTACCTCACGGGGTGTCTGTTGTGGGGAGGGGAGGGGAAAAAGAGTTTGTAAGCCGCTCTGAGACTCCTTTGGGTAGTGAAAGGGAGGGTATGAATCCAATCTCTTCTTCTCTCTCTTCTCTAAATGCCTTCTTTCTATTCGAAAAACAGGTCCAGGAATCTCTGGCACAGAATGGTCCGGCTGTGCCCACTACCGAGGTTACTGTCGAGAGATGTGCTTCCCCCAGGAAAAATCGCTGGGCCCCTCGGGCTGTCCTGAAGGCCAGGTGTAAGTTGCCGATGTCTGACACCCTCCTTTTCTCCAGACCCAGTTTGGTGTAGTGGTTAAGAGCGCGGACTCTAATCTGGGAGAACCGGGTTTGATTCCCCGCTCCTCCACGTGCAGCCTGCTGGTGTGACCTGGGGCCAGTCACAAGTTCTCTCGGAGCTGTTCTCTCAAGGGCAGTCCTCGAGAGAGCTCCCTCAGCCCCACCTACCTCACACGGTGTCTAATCTGGGAGAACCGGGTTTGATTCCCCGCTCCTCCACGTGCAGCCTGCTGGTGTGACCTGGGGCCAGTCACAAGTTCTCTCGGAGCTGTTCTCTCAAGGGCAGTCCTCGAGAGAGCTCCCTCAGCCCCACCTACCTCACAGGGTGTCTAATCTGGGAGAACCGGGTTTGATTCCCCGCTCCTCCACGTGCAGCCTGCTGGTGTGACCTGGGGCCAGTCACAAGTTCTCTCGGAGCTGTTCTCTCAAGGGCAGTCCTCGAGAGAGCCCCCTCAGCCCCACCTACCTTATAGGGTGTCTGTTGTGGGGACAGGAAAGGAAAGGAGACTGTAAGCCGCTCTGAGACTCTTGAGTGAAGGGCGGGGTATAAATCCAACCTCTTCTTTCCTGTTTTGACCTTCTGGTTGAAAGTGGTGGTGTCAAGTTGCAGCCAAAGATGGCGAACCCTTGGGGTTTTCAAGGCAGGATATGAACAGAGGCACTTTGCCATGGCCTGCCTCTGCGTTGCAACCTTGGACCTCCTTGGTGGTCTCCCATCCAAGTACTAACCGGGGCCGACCCTGTTCTGATGAGATCAGGCTAACCTGGCCTATACAGACACAAGAGACACTCGGAGCGGGTCTGCCATTGCTTGCCTCTGACGTTGCCTCCTGGCACTGGGATTCAGGGGATTAGTGCCTCTGAATGTGGAGGTTCCCCTCAGTCACCAGGGCTAGTAGGCCACTGATGGACCTCTCCTCCACGAATCTGTCTCATCCCCTTTTAAAGCTGTTTATTCCTGTGGCCATCACATGTTCGTCACTCAGAGCCAGTTTGGTGTCGTGGTTAAGTGCGCGGACTCTAATCTGGGAGAACCGGATTTGATTCCCCACTCCTCCACTTGCACCTTCTGGATGACCTTGGGCAAGCCGTAGTTCTGTCAGAGCTGTTCTTGAAAAAGAGAGCAGTTTCTGTCAGAGCTCTCTCAGCCCCACCTACCTCACAGGGTGTCTGTTGTGGGGAGGGGAAGGGAAAGGAGTTTGTGAGCCTCTCTGAGACTCCTTCGGGTAGTGAAGGGTGGGGTAGAAATCCAATTTCTTCTTCTTCTCGAAAGAGTTCTCTCAGCCCCACCTACCTCACGGGGTGTCTGTTGTGACGAGGGGAAGGGAAAGGATTTTGTGAGCCGCTCTGAGACTCCTCCGGGTAGTGAAGGGCAGGGCATAAATCCAATCTCTTCCTCCTCCTCTTCTTTTTCTTCTTCTTCATGTGTGGTGTGACCTTGGGTCAGTTACAAGTTATTTCAGAGCTGTTCTCTCAAGGGCAGTTCTCTGAAAGAGCTCTCGCAGCCCCACCGACCTCACAGGGTGTCAGTTGTAGAAAGCCAGTTTGGTGTCGTGGTTAAGTGTGCAGACTCTAATCTGGGAGAACCAGGTTTGATTATGCACTCCTCCAATCGCACCTGGCTGGATGACCTTGGGCAAGCCATAATTCTGATGAGCTGTCCTTGAAAAAGAGCCGTTTTTGTCAGAGCTTTCTCAGTCCCACCGACCTCACAGGGTGTCTGTTGTGGGGAGGGGAAGGGAAAGGAGATTGTAAACTGCTCTGAGACTCCCTTGGGTAGTGAAGGGCGGGGTATAAATCCAATCTACTCCTCCTCCTCTACAAAGTAAGATCATCCTTTATAACAAACAGCAAAGAGGGCAGGCTAGTAAAATCTCCCTCTTGTACAGAGCTTTTGTGAGTCACTGCTTATTTTTTCCAGATACATTCGGCATTCTAGTTGTATCTGAAGAAGTGAGCAGTGAATCATGAAAGTGAGAGCCATTTTAGTGTAGCGGTTAGGGGCACGGACTCAGAACTGGGAGAACCGGGCTTGATTCCCCCACTCCTCCACGTGCAGCTGCTGGGGTGAGCTTGGGTCAGTCACAAGTTCTTTCAGAGCTGTTCTCTCAAGGGCAGTCCTCGAGAGCGCTCTCTCAGCCCCACCTGCCTCACAGGGTGCCTGTTGTGGGGAGGGGAAGGGACAGGAGACTGTAAACCGCTCTGAGACTCCTTCGGGTAGTGAAGGGCGGGGAATAAATCCAGTCTCCTCCTCCTCCGTGTAAAGGTGTATTTCCTTTTGTCTGAACCTACTGCCCATTGGCTTCATTGAATGTCCTCGAGTCCTAGTATTTGGGGAGAGGGAGAAGAATTTCTCTTTGACAGCTGTCTCCACCTCATGCATAATCGCCTTTATCATGTCCCCCCCTTGCAAAGAGTCAACGGACACCAACGGGGGCCGGGGGAGGGTCAGGGCTGGTTCAAGGTATTCTGTCATCCCCATCCTAGCAGCGTGATGGGCCCCCTCTGTCACCAATCCCTGGGACCCGGGGGGGCAACGCATTCCGACTGTTTCTCCGTTCTGTTGGCAGCTGCTGCCTGTCCGGCGCTTCGGAGGGCATCTGGGTCCCATAAACCCAGTGAGGCATTGGCGACGAGGAGTCCGCTGACGGAGGAGCGTCTGCCGAGTTTCCGAAGAATCACATATGTCACACGAGTGTGCGTGGGGTTGGGGGAACGGTGGGGCTGTGACTGTATAAGCGCAACTGTATCATTCTAGCAAAAATAAACCTTGTGTCTGTCGCCGGAGTCATTCCTGGAGTACCGCTTGCGGGAGAGTAGACGCAGAGTTGCCAGAAGCAGAGTTGCCAACATTCAGGTGGGTTGAAAGTAAGAGATTAGTAGGAGCCTGAAGTTG